TGAATTATTAATACTGAAGAATACAATAGAATATAACATTTTAAAATAAAGATAATAGTCATGTGCTATGATATAATATAACATGATGCAATATTGGATTTGTTTTGAACCCTTGGCTGTTTATCACTTTCTTGTCCTGCGTTTGGAGCTGGTGCCTTTCTCCAGCTGACATCGTGCAAAAAGCTCAGCTGCTCATGCGCTTTTAAGGTTTTTGCACAAGAAGTCTTCTGTCAAATTGTTGTAAATTCAAAATTAAAGTGCCAGATTATTGTTACCACATTTCTATCAGAGTTTATCTTTAAAACTGGATCAACAGTTTAGACTTCCTCCATTTTATTTGGCCACGTCAGCCATATTTTTAAAGTTTAACACCCAGAAGAACCAGCAATTCATTTTTTATCAATTGTTTTTTTTTAACAAAATGAATAGATTTAATCATTTTGTGACTAAACCTTTATTTAATCCCTCTGCCTTTTCTTCAGGGAGGATGTGGCGGAGTCAGGCCTCTGGGACCGCTGTGGGAGGAAGCTCTGACAGAGGGGCTTCACGAGGTCGCCTTGGGGAGGCCAGAGAGGAGAGACACAACCAGAGCTGGAGACGGATGACGCCCTGGATGTGATTTGATGGGAGGCGGCAGGAAGATGGAGAGCAGGAGTCACAGTCAGCCTGAGGTCATCTGGTTCATGAGAACCACTCCAGGACCACCGAGCAGAGGGAGCCTCATGATAGTCCATTTTAACGTTTACAGACAAATAAATGACATTTAACACTCATCTCTTCTTAGTTTTGACTTCACACGGAACAAACACAAATATACTGATCAAAAATAATTTGTAGGCTCTAATAACAGCTCATGAAGTCCTTTAATCTGAGCATGATGGGTAATCTGAATGACCACCAACGATCTCTAATGGTTTTTTATTGCGCTGCATTTTCAGCTAAAGTCAAAACCAGCTATAAAGAGACGTTTTAACCCGAGACGCTCGTTCAGTTTGCAGATAATGTTCTCACTGAAATGAGCTTGATTTAGCTTGAAAACGTGACTTCTTTGTGTCTTTTTAAATCTGGACGCTGATTATATCTGCAAACACAACTCTTGCATACCAATGTGTCAATCCCACAGTTTCCCCACACACAGTAGTTTTAGCTTCGTTAGCCACAGTCAAGTGGAGCAATCAGCCGTTGTATTGTATTATAGTATCTGAGCATGCAACTGCTCAAACATGTTAAAAACCGTTCCTAAAAATAAGAGTTCTGATGATTTGAGTTGAGCTAAAGCACAAAATACTAAAAACAAACAAAAACAAATGTACTTACTTTAAATCCCATCAATCAAGAACAAGGGTTTTTAGATGTGGTGGCTTTGAGTGATGGAAGATATAACCAAACCGCTGATATTTTGATTTTGCTGGCTTTTAAAGACACTTTGAAGCAACTGGATTTTACTCTATTTTATAAACTTTAACCACTTCTCCTATCAGCTCACTTCAACCACTGCCCTGAGAGAAAAGTTGTTTATTCTGTTTGTGCAGGACCTGACTGTCCGGATGGAAGTGGGCCGAGCTGTGTTCTGTGTTCGAGCCGTGTCCTGAGTCGGCTAACATTAATGCAGCTCACGTTAGAAAGCTCTGCCTCCAGAACTTCCTTTGCACCTTTCACCACCGGTCCCTCAGTTTTGTGGTTGTGCACATGTCGGAGTCGGGCTACAGGACAAAATACTTCACTTCACCGAGATAAAATTAAAAGCTGCTGAGCAAAGTGGCTAAACTTTCTAAAACCAACAGCAGCCTGGGACATTTTTGCAGGGTTAATATTAATTTTGCAGGAATGGCTGAACTAAATTTAACAATAAAAATAACATTTGTATGAACCAATATGGAATTTTTGAGACGTTTTAAGACGACAACGATCCACGCAGTCCCCTTTTTCACCAAACTGAGATCTTGCAAGCAGCTGTCTACAACAGGTAAGATAATCATTGTTCATAACCGTTCCACAAAAGCCTGTTTCAACAGATGTAACCTTTAAAATGAATTCCTGTAAAAGGTACAAATTGCCACAGATATTAAAAAGAAAGAAATCCATTTTTGAGTTTAACTTATTGTACTGTTCAACTTATTAATAAAATTACAACATAATGGAGGGGAAATTGTGGGTTTTTACATTATCATCATTACCCTGATATAAAAAAGTCACATTATGATAAAAATCAAAAACAAAACCCAAAATTTAAAGTAGCTGGTTCTGCGGACGGCTGCTTTTCCTGGAGGTCTCCCTGTTGCTATCTCAGAACTTGTTTATCTCTGTTTTCCCACATCGCATGTTGTTTGGGATGAGACGATCAGCGTGAAAAAGAAACCATTACTTATGCCGTGGTTTGGAGAGCACGGGGAAATTGACTGTAAACCACTAACTACATACGAACCTGACGGCAGCGTTTTTATGGGAAAGTCTGAGACGCTGGCGTGTTTGGCTCAGTTCCCAGCACAGACCTACAGACTGATAAGTTCCAGATCATTTTCTTAGCCGTGACTATCATCACTTTTGTTTTCGATGATTCAAGCCGAGGCAGAGGAAACAAAACCACACGCCATGACAACACCGCGGCAGAAGCTTTTCCCTTGGAGTGACCACGTTTGGTGACGTGGTCGGCGTTGGATAAAAATATATCCTGGCGTTTTCGACTTAATTAAAAGGAGCCGCACACGAAGACGGGAAAAGATTTTTTAAACCAGTTTGTAAAGGCAGACGGTCACGAAACAGCTCAAAGTGACAGCCTCGTCATGAGAATCTGCAACGGGCGGTGTACAAGAAGTGCTTTTATGCACGCCCATCAGCACGATGACCTCGGCCTCTCAGACTCGGAGGCGTCAGGCGCCTGCAGGCTCCTCTCTGACTCGCACACATGCTTCAACATTAGCAGCGATGAACATCCATAAACCTTTATTTAAATTCCCCTGGCAGTCAGAACTCCTACACGAGCATGTTTGACAACATATTCTTTACAACTTATCTCTGATTTTAAAGCCTCCGTGCACGACTAAACGTCTTTTTGTCTGTGTATCAGTGCTCCAGACCAATCAGCCATCTTTCATGTGAAGACTCACGAGGCTCAGTGTGTCAGATAACTGAGACACCAACGCCTCACACTCGTCTATTCTCTCCCAGAGCAAGCTGCTGAAGCATGTTTAGCACCAATTATGTGCTTTTGGGGAAACTGCCAAGTTTATATTTAGTGTGTTGTTGTGAGTTTGAGCATTTGTGGCTGTAAAAGCACGAAAATGAGACTGCGAGCGCCGCCTGACTACGTCTGATCAGTAAATGAGAGGATGGGCCTCTCAGGAGCTTTGATTTCGTTTTTGTCTGACCTTATAAAACATCCTGTTTTCACTGAGGCTATTTTTAACCCACACTTTGATTTTTGCATCGTGCACTAGTTTTACAGCAGAACAGCTAATATCACCCAAGGTTTTAGAGAAAAATGTCCAAATTAATTTGGTTCATAAAGGTCTTCATATCCATTTGTGGCCAAAAATAATAAAAAAACGAGACAAGAAATCTGAATTAGTTGGACTTTTGTAGCAGATGGTCTAGACTTTATTAATTTTGTTCCCTCTCGCATGGAAGATCTGCGATTAGCTTCAGCGATGTGAATAAATGAACAAGTCTCTTCCAGTTCCTGCTGGGTTTACTCTGCTGCCACAGTCCTGCGCTGCAACTTTAACATTTGCCATCCGCAGTTTAGATTCATAATGGGATCATTCGACCCTCTCTGTTCATAATTTTATGGCTCAATCACAGAAAACTTGAACAGACAAAGAGAAAAAACATTTTCAGATTTCCCATCAACGTGAGACCAGCGGATAATAAGGAAACTGATTATTAAATGATTTCAAACCGTCTCCACTAAACTTTTATTGAAACATGATACAACAGCAATAGAAACAGATCTGCAAAAATATACCTAAAAAAAAATCCAAAAGGAAATCTGTGATTAAATAAGTAACAACAAAAAAAGACAAGGTAGAAAATGATCTCTTCTAACGTCACAACATGCAGGAATATATTAAAACTAATAAACTGCAGAAGGAATCTGCAAAGACCGAACGCCTTATTCAGAAACGTTGACTCAACGATAAAACATTAGCAAACAAATGCAACTAAATAAACAGTTAAAGGGATAGTTCAGCTTTTCTTGGAGTATGGATCTGTTAAAAAGTTCTGAACAAATATTATCTTACCTGCTGCAGATAGCTCTTGGATAAATATATACATAAGAGTTTAATTTTGACCAGACTGAGTTAAATGTTAGAACAGGGCCAGAAGCAAAGCGGATTGTTGACGTGGCAAAATTCAAATTAAAATATTACCATGTAGCTAAATGTTTTTAACGTCTCCGGTTTAGATCTTGTTTCCACCACGGTGGACGTCAGAAGGTCGTTCAAATAAACCTGAACCGTGACATAATTAATGATACGTTGCAATAAATGCAATTACGTAATTAAGTATTTTTGAGGATACAAAGTCGTTGAGTTTTTATCAATTAGCGGCGACATCGCCTGCCTCTGACAGCACACCAGTCATTGAACCTACTTTAGAAAATGTGCAAAAGTCTTTATAAAAGATTCACTCACGATATGTCAACGTAAACTCAAGACAGAAGACATGGAAGAAGAGGGAGATCCTCAAGCCTCACACCTACAACCTTTGGTAACTTTAAAAAAGTCCTTTAAAGAGGACAGAAGACGGTGGATCAGCTGTACGCAGGGAGTGAGAGCTACGGCAGTTTACAAACGTCCACCACAGAGGACAGATCTGAACTGTGGACAGCGAGGAGGCAGTTTATGTCAAAGCTAATTTAGTAACATTTACAACAATTATTGCAACAGAAATAGTCCAACAGGAAGTGCTCCAGGCAAGTGCTACTGCTAGCTGCTATCGCCACAGTCCTCAAGTTCAGAGTTGATTTAAAATGGCAGCAGCTGACGTCGGTCCTGGCCCTCCTCAGACTAGCCGTTAGCTCATCATCAGGTCAAAATTTAACTCCATTTCTCTAAAGTCACGCTGCTCAAAGAGTTATCTACAACAGGTAACATATTGATTATTCTCAACCTTTCCACAGAGCCTCACGTCAGAAACTAAACTAGCATATTAAGGTTTTAAAGCAGCCCTGGTTTACTCTACTTTTTATTGTTCCTGTGCCCACTCTTTGTTAGGATTTGAGAAACGGACAGGACATCCCATCCTGCAACACCCGACGTCTACACGGTCATTTTGATTCCGTCGCTCTGCCCATCAGCCTGTGGATCTCCCTGCAGAAGACAAGTCTCCATTAAACACAAACCAAATATTCAACCCCAGACACGATAAACACGACACGGCGGCTCACCAAGACGGAGAACGCTCCAGAACGACCCGACTTCCCTCTCTTTGGTGGATCAAGCTTCACTTGTCTCCTCACTCTGGTCACCTGAGAATATTTCCCCACACTGTTATTTATTTATGTATTTATTTATTTATTTGGCTTAGACTTATTTTACAAGCTGGAGTGTATTTCAAGTGCAGAACTTAAAGAAACACATCTGTGTAATTAAAAAGCATCCGCTGGCACACATAGAGCCTCTTTGTCCCCCGCTATTCCTCTGCTGCCTTTGTGTTGCCATGGCAACTCACCTGTAGGGGGGTGGAGTTGAAGTCGTGGCTAAGGAGGGAGAAGGTGCCGGGGCGGCGGGTTTTACGCTTGCTCTTCCTCTTATTCACAGCTTGAGTCAAGTGTCTCCTGGACCGATCAGCCTGAGAAAAATATTGACGCAGGGATTATAGAGACAGCAACACACACATGCACACATGCACACACACACATGCACACACATGCACACACACATCTGTGCTCTCTTTCAATCAAGTGACTCATAATTGAGCTTGAAGAACACGCAGCCTTCTCAGCCTGTTGTTGCAGGAATCTAACACGGATGCTCTCATGTTTTAATTGACTCATCTACAAAACTTCATGTTTCTTTGGGTTGATTTCTGTCTGACAGCACACACTGATGAGCCAACATAACCCAAACCTCACTTGATCATTCTGTAAACTGACCCCAGACCCCCCCAACATGTGTCTTTTTGCTGATTCCTGTGTAACTAACCAGAGCGGTTTACCTGGATGAGAGCATTAGGGAAGCCCTTGACGGAGACGGCTCCCGGCAGGCTGGTGTGACTCAGCTGGGTGGGACCCCTCTGCTCCAGCTGCCTCTTACGTCTGAACAAATCCTGCACGGATGAGACAGTCAGAACCGCAACCGCACGAGGCAAAACAACAATGATGAGGAGAGGATCAGGGCTCGTGCTGTGGATGCTGAGAGAAAGTTCCTCTGCTCCTGTCTCTTCCTGTTCTGCTCACTTTAAGTTGTCTTTCCTGCTTTATTGGAAGTCAAACTCCAACAAGGCAGGTAGGAAACAACTAAATTAAAACATTTGTGGACACTTCTGTCCTGCATCGATTAGCTCAGAATGAATCCCTGCTATCGATCCACCCATTCTTCCCTGATAAATGGACCGTCACTGTTTGAAACAAAGGTTTTTATAAAGATGGCTGCCAGCTGCAACATCTGCTAACAGTGATTCTGAATCCACTTTATTACTTGCAGTGATTGACATTGATCTGCATTTTGGCAATTGTTGCAGTTTGGAGTACAGTAGTCCCTCGTTTATCACAGGGGATCCGTATATATATATACACTAATATATATATATATTTATATATATATATATATATTAGTGTATATATATATATATTTATGTGTATGTATGTGTAAATACTGTATAAAGGCATATATATAAAGGCATTATAAACC